TCTCACTCTCACTCTCACTCACTCACTCACTCACACACTCACTCACTCACACACACACACACACTCTCTCTCTCTCTCTCTCACCTACTCACTCACTCATATGAACGCACACACTTACTCACTCACACACACGCACACCTGAACGCATGACAGGGATGGGAAGCATATGGTGGCTGTGGATGTGCTGGAGCGACAGTTCCGCAGTGTGCTGGTGAAGCTGAGCATGTGCGATGCCCTCCTCTCCGACAAAGGCGACGGGCTGCAGTTTGCGCTGTACGCCACTACCGATTGCGAAACGGAGGCTGTGGCTGCGCGACATGAGACAAACCCCTGGATTGTCGCAGATCAGCAAGACTGTGGCCCACACACGCACCAACCAGCCGTGTTACGTAACACCACCACCAGTACCACTGATGTGGTTGAGATTGATGACGATGACGATGATGACGAGGTAGAAAACGGTAATGGAACTCGCGGTAGCAGCGGCGATGGCGGCGATGTTGGGGGTGACCACATGAGGTCTGCCAGGGGTCAACTGGCAGCGAAGAAGGAGCAAAATGAGAAGAAGAAGGAAGCGCAGCAACAACAGCAACAGCAGCAACAGCAACACCAACAACGGCAACACCCGCGCATGCAAGTCTTGAAACGCGTTGCTGCACACCCACTGTCCATCCTCGTGTATGCAGAGGAAGTGTGACACACTTCATTCATGTTGCGCTGCATAGGAAGTGGGCACCAACAAGCGTACACGTGTGTGTGTGTGTGTGTGTGTGTGTGTGTGTGTGTGTGTGTGTGTGTGTGTGTGTGTGTGTGTGTGTGTGTGTGTGTGTGTGTGTGTGTGTGTGTTGCGTGCGTGTGTGGGTGGGTGTAATTTATCTCTGAATGCCTCTCTTCCCCCCCCCCTCTCTCTCTCTCTTTGTCTCTCTGTACATCCTCAACCACACAACAGGCAGATGCATCGCCGTGTGTGCTTGCCATATCGTGTTCTTGGGATGTTTGTTGTCGCACAACTCTCCAACCCCTCCTTGGTTGGCTCTTGAACGTGTAACTGGCATTATTATACGCTACCATCCCACCCCACCACTCGTCCTTCCCATCCATCCTCACTGTCTCATGCTGGGAAAGCGGGTGTCATATTGGAGGAGAGATGATGCTGAGGCGCGCATCTCTCACATGCAGCGCAGTTGGTGATGACACGCGGAAACAGCGTCGCTGAAGAGAAACCAGGGTGGAGAAAGCACAACGCCGAAACAATGGGCAAGCCACCAAGCACAGAACGAAACATCTGAACATGAACCAGTCATAGCAAACCAGCGTTGAGAACCCGAGACAGCACGCACGCGCCTCTGGCATCAAGGCAGCCACACGAGCAGATGAGCAACAACGAAAAACAGCGCCGCCAATGAACAAACGAAAGCGAACACAAGTGCCTGCAGCTCTCACGTTGGAGACACAGAGAGATTGTGAGTGTGTGTGTGAGAGACAGACAGAGAGAGAGAGAGAGTGTGTGTGTGTGTGTGTGTGAGTGAGTGAGTGTGTGTGTGTGTGTGTGTGTGTGTGTGTGTGTGTGTGTGTGTGTGTGTGTGTGTGTGTGTGTGTGTGAATCGTCACCACTTCACCGGAGAGAAGAAAGAAACCACGGTGCAACCAGCAACCACTAGCCGGCAACCAGAAGCATGAAACACGCCACCAGCCAGACAACTCCTGACATCATCACATCCCCCCCCCCCTTCCGAGATCACTCGTCATCCTGTTGCACTGATGTGGGAACAGCGAGCGTTTCCACGTTGGTTGGCGCAACGTCAATGTAGCTGCCTTCATCTGCCTCGTTCTCAGCCACGTTCTCCACCGCCCCGTCCTTCTCACCATCACCATCACCTTCACCATCACCACCATCACCGCCATCAGCATCGTTCGCCTTGGCCTGCAGCGCCTCTGAGCTGCGGTACATGGGGTTCTGCTTTGTTGAGGAGTCGTTGAAGGCGGGAGCGTCATACAGCCCGGTATCCTCCGCTGCGTTGTACAGCGTGTTCAGCTCCTCCACGTCCCCGTTCTCGTTGTACATGGGATTGGAGAAGGACACAACGGGTCGCGCACCGGTCTTGCTGTCATCTGCGCTCTTCTTGCTGTCCGCGTCGCGCAGGGCGTCTGCCACGCGCGGGTTGCGGCGGCGGTTGCGCATCACAATCAGCACCAGACCGGCAACCAGCAGCACCCCGACAGCAGAGCCAACACCAACGCCAACCTTCTCACTGTCGTTCAGCACACTCCCGGACCTTGAGCCGGGTCCATCGTTATCATCATCATCGTCGTCGTCGTCGTCGCCATCATCATCATCATCATCGTGGTCATCATCGGCATCATCGTCATCAGCAGACGACAACACTGCCAGCACGAGCGTGCGCACCTGATTGTAGACCGAGTCGAACATGGCCGCAACATCCGCCTCATACTGTGCGTCGGAGAAGCTGCCATCAACATTGCACCGCAGGCCGCACCCGCCAATGCTGGCATAGAACGTGGTTTCCACCCTTGCCTTCCAATCGCTCAGGGGCAGCGGCGGTGATGCAAGCGCAGCGCTCGTCAGGTCGGCCAGCGTCACGGCGCGGGTGCAGTTGGTGTCGATGCCGCTGGTGAAGCTGAGGCACGTTGGCTCCTCCGGCTTGAACACGGTGACAGCGGCGTTGAGGAACGTGGCTAGCTCTGAGAAGCGCTCCGAGGAGGATGGTAGCGTGCACTCGGGCGATGTGTCGGATGCCGTGCACGCCTTGTCCCGCAACATGGGGAAGATGATGCTGACAATCATGCCACTTGCCGTTGAGGCCACCTCCCTTCGTTCAACAACTGCTGGCCTGATGCGGACCTGGTCACCGCTGATCTTGGTGATGGGCGGGGTGCCGCTGAGCGTGTCCGCAATCAGGTTGCGCAGGGTGTCGTCGTTGTACGACTGGAACAGCCGCGTCAGCATGGTTGGTGGCAGCAGGTCGCCCACGCTAAACTCGACAGTCACCGTGGCTGTCTCCACGCGGTCGGCCGCATCCATGGCAGAGTCGAGGCCGGACAAGTACGCGCACGCGCTGGTGGTGTTCACCTGCAGGCACGCCTCGACCGTGCGGTTCCTAATGTGTGAGGTGGATGCCCTCCAAGCCAGCAGCTCAAGCACCTCGCGCGGCCCCGGGGCAAGGGTGTCGAAGGAAGCCACGCTGGCAATCGCATCAACAGCAATGGCGGGGCCCGTGACTCTTGCGGCAAAGGCGAGCGTATCCGACGATGGCGCATATGTGAGGTTGCAGCTCGCACCGGGGGCAAAGCGCAAGTCCGGCAGCACTTCTGCAGCAAGCCGGGTCATGTGGTGCTTGACGGCCTCGTTGTCTGCGCTGCCGAGGGCGTTGAGCTGGGGTTCCACGGCAGCCTGAAGCTCTGGCGACAGGCTCAAAATGGCCAGAGGCTTGAACGTGTACGCGACGAGCTTCTCTTTGGGCCTGCGGGCATCATTCAGGGTGCTGTTGACGGCCATGATGGCGAGTTCGTTCGCCAGCGCTTCGTCGGCCAGCTGTTGCTCCAGGGACGGGCACGTTGAGAAGCACACGCAGGCGCGCTGCTGGACGTCAAACTGTGCCTCCAGTTCGCACGTGAGCCGATCCATGCTCGAGTTGCCGCGAGAAAAGTGGATGCCGCTGCCTGACCCGTAAGCCGGCGACGACTGCAAACCACAGTGCATGAATGCACGAGTAAGGGGAAAAGCGGGGTTGGGAGGGAGGTTGAGGGAAGGTGGGAAGATGTAAGGAGAGAAGTGGAGGGTGAGAGGGTTCATGGCACATGGTACATGACACTTGTGTAAGGTGATGACATACAATGCGTATGTATGTGTGTGTTGGGGGGGGGGGAGGTATGACACCCCCGTTGTGAGACAACACGAACAGACGAGAGATTAGAGTCAGGTGAAAGTGTCAACTGACAAAGGATGGCGGGAGGTGCTCGTCGTTGGCGAGTGCAACGCGGACACTGTCCAGCGTCAGGGATGTGATTGGGGCGAAGGAGCCTGTGAAAATGTGGTACGACGATGTCATTGGGAAGAATGCATCATCCTCCATGCACGGCGGGCGCGTGGTATTGAAGGACGTCTCCCAGTTCTGTCACAGCGAGGAAAGGGAGAAGAGCACATGGTGCGTGTGTGTGTTGTGATGGGTGTGTGTGTGTGCAGTGGACCGGGATTGGTGAGAGGTGTCATGTCGTAGGCTCGTGAGGGGAGGTTGTTGCTGAGGAGACTGATCAAGACAGGGGTACCCAATCTATCAGTCGCACGCACCCCCACACCCCCACACAAACAAATACTTACAAACACACACACACACACACACACACACACACACACACAAATATCACGTACCTTGTGGCAGTTAAAGTCGCACTCTGGGCGGTAAGTCTGACCACCGGTGAACACAGTCACGTCAGCATCGTCCGTGTTGGCGTCGACATCGCTTGGGTGGGTCTTGTGGAACACCATCTGGGCACCGTGAGGTGCAAACTCCAGCACGCCGTTGTCTGCAAACACAATTGCCTGCTTGGTCGCGTACTTGCCAGCATGGACGAGGGACGTGACTGGCTTCCAGCCATCAGTTTGGTGCTTTGGCCCAAAGTACACGGTTGTGGTCACGGCATCGTCCTGGTTGTGGCCGACAACCACAGGAGCGCCGCCATCCCAGTTGGCGTCGTTGTTGAAGTTGGTGTTGCATCCGTCCTCTTTCCACGTAAACACGGCGCCATGCACATTGACGCACATTAGCATGCCAATAAGGAGCACCGCAGCGCTCACAGCAGCACCGCGTCGGGCCATCATGCTTGTTGTTGTTGTTGTTGTTGTTGTTGTTGTTGTTGTTGTTGTTGTTGTTGTTGTTGTTGTTGCTGCTGCTGCTGTCGTGGGCGTGTAAATGGGTTTGTCAATGCTCGCACACAAGTACGCTTTGATTGGTGTTGTTGTGAAGGGCTGAACGTGCAGGGGTGAATGGAAATTTAGTTACAGAGCCAACGAAACGTCGGAAGAATAACGCGGATTCAAAAAATATCGAAGGTGGGGGTGGGGCCGGGACAGTGACACACAGACACACAGGCACACAGACACACGACACACAGACACACACACACAGACACACAGACACACAGACACACAGACACACACAGATCAGAAGCAACGAGGGAGGAGACGTGGCGGCGCCTCTCATGTGGGCGAGTATGGGGGCGGATCTTCCGAGATGGAAGCGCTTCGTAGGCTGACCATGCTCAGGCGTCGGCGTGCCGCCTCGATGGTGACTGGCTCCTGCTGCTCGGTGCCAGCCTGTGTGTGTGTGTGTGTGTGTGTGTGTGTGTGTGTGTGTGTGTGTGTGTGTGTGTGTGTGTGTGTGTGTGTGTGTGTGTGTGTGTGTGTGTGTGTGCGTGCGTGCGTGTGTGTGTGTGTGAGTGAGGGATGGCGTATTGGATGGTTCAAAACAACTTGCAATCATGCGTCAGGGGGCAACTTACCTGTTGTACCAACTGTTGCGCCGTGTCCATTAACGCGGGATCGCCACCAAGCACAAATGCCTGTCGGGTGTGAAGAAAAAAAATCACGCAGTGAACGAGTGGCTGGGGCAAACACACGCGTATGTCCAGCGCGTTTACGCCAATACCAACGTCTGCTCGACATGCTGGGCAAATTTCACACCAGCGCACCTTGACACACTCGTTAACGCTCGCGCGCAATCGCAACAGCTCATTCTCTGCTTCCATATAGCGCACAAACACCTCCTGTGTGGGTATGTCGGTGTGTTGGTGTGCTGGTGAGGGGGAAGGTATCAAGCCCGGTCGAGTTCGGTGGCAGGCGAAAGGACAGGCGGACGAAACATCACCAGGAAGGATACAAACACCTCCCCCACCCCCCTCTCACACACACATACAACCACACCTGTGTTTTGTGGTCGATAAGCGCTTGCAGTTCATCCTCAAGCTGTGAGAGCTGCGAAACCGTCACCTGGATACGTTCGTTCATCTGTTTGGGCAAGTGATGTGAGATGTGGCGCGAGAGGGCCGCGTTGAAGTGAGCACTGGCTTGGATGCTCGGATCACAAACATGTGCAGCATGTGCAGAGGACAGCCTCATTGTGCATGCTGACGAGCACGCATGGGCGTGGCATGGGCATGACGCTGAATCACGTGTCCAGTGTCAATCGTTGATGTGGCTTCAACGGTACCTGTTGAATCTTGGTGGCCAGGGATGCCGCTGTTCCGCCTCTCCGCCCGCTCTTTCGCTGCTGCTCGCGCTGGAGCGACGCCAGCTGCCGATTCAACCGCTGCCGGTCACGCCGAAATGTGTCGCATATCCTCTCCTTGGCTGTGGGCGGCGCATGCGGCAGTTTGGGGGGAGGGGCGTTGAGGTCAATGAACGAGCAAAGCAGGGAGGCGAACAGGAGGGGAAGGGGAGGAAGCGAGCGAGCAGACATACAAACACACAGACAGAGCCAGAGAGCCAGAGAAACATGGACACGGGCACATTTATGCAGGCAGACATACAGACAGACAGACACAAGGGTTTCTTACAGAGGATGTTCTCGAAGACTTGTCTCCTCGCCTTGATTCTGTCTCCGAGCGCCCGCTCGCGGTCAAGGAGCATAAACTGAATGGTGGCCACGGAACCCACGCGCTGCTGTACTTGCGGTGACTGCTTCTCCGCCCATTTCAGCAGGCACTTGTGGACTATGTGCGACAAACAAGACGGGGCACAGCAGCGGCGTGCATGAGCGGACACATGGCACATCCGTCACAGATGAACAACAAGAAACAGCAACCAAGTACGCACACAGACAGACAGGCAGACAGACACACACACACACATGCAAACAAACAAACCAGCAAACAGGTGTACGAACGCACCTTCGTACTGGGCGTGGAGGTACGTCTTCCACGCTCGCTTGGCATTTGTGTCAGCTGCAATCAACTTCGCACAAGCACGAATGTGAGACTGAACAACACCGCATGCACAACTGTGTGTTCAAGCAAGCACCGAGTGCTGTTGTTGTCACATGGCATTGCACGATGTCGACAGAGTTGCTTCATCAACACACGCATGGCTCACTTGCTGCAGGTCTTTGTGGCCCTGAAAAGCGCCTCGCAGAGAGGCAGATGCCCTGATCAACGCAAAGCCAGAGCAAGACGCTTTCATGAGCACGTGTCCGAATGGGTGCGTGTGTGTGTGTGTGTTTGCGTATGCCCAACACCACGATCGGTCCACGGTCACATGGTGACATCACTCACATCCGCATCGACATGAGCTCCATCTTGCTTGTCGTTGTTGTTGATTTGATGACTCATCACCACTTTCAATCCTCCTTGATGTGTGTGTGTGTGTGTGTGTGTGTGTGTGTGTGTGTGTGTGTGTGTGTGTGTGTGTGTGTGTGTGTGTGTGTGTGTGTGTGCCCTTCCTTCCACTTCCACCACACGCATGGTTGTCATCATTGGTGGTGCGCCGCCACCAAGCAAGCCAAAATGGGTACGTGTAATCGAAGCACGAGCCGCCAAACGTAACAAAGGGAGAGATGCCAAGAAATGGAGACAAGGAGACGTGTGTGTGTGTGTGTGTGTGTGTGTGTGTGTGTGTGTGTGTGTGTGTGTGTGCGAGCTTGATGTCAGCAAACAAATTTGAGAGCAAGAGGATGATGATTCCCGGTGATGACGACAGCAACTACACGTCCAGTGCGGAGGAACTGCTGTGCTCGCCCAGCTTGGGAATGGTGACAGAGTACCCATCTGTATGAACGTGAACGTGAACGTGAACGTGAACGTGTGTGTGTGTGTGTGTGTGTGTGTGTGTGGAGAGTATACTAATCGTGGATACTCGCCGGTTTTAGTACTGATGAAATTGAGGCCTTGAGCACATCGGGTGAACGAGGTCATTGCACATGGAGAACCTATGGTGTCGCTGGTCCCGGTTCCCCTCCATAAGTGGCGTATTGGGTTAGCTCGAGTTACTTCACAGTGATGAGAGATCACTTGCTCCGCGGATGCAACGCAACGATGTATCTGTCGAGACAGCTATTCACGACTGCGACGTGGGCTAGCATCTCATAAAACGATCGATGCGGTAACTATAAGCTTCTTCTTTGTGTCGTAAACACACACACGCACACCACACACACACACACACACACACACACACACACACACACACACACACACACACACACACAAGCCAACGCACAAATACAAATGGACATACAAGCCCCCCTGGCCCCAAATTCACATCCCCACACAGTGATCACCCATTCATGCATTCAAACCTGCGGTCTTGATGAATTGGGGCACGGGGTCTGGCTCGATGGTGCCGTAAATGGCAATTGGGCGGTGCGTGTCGTGCACAAAGTACAGCGTGTCCTTCACATGCACCTGGATGTAGTGGTGCACCTGAAGCCATGACAGCAAACCATGGCAGGAAGGTGTGCACGGGCATGGGAGTAGAGCGTGGAGTGAGTGCTTGTGCAATTGTCCTGGGCAACCAACCTATGATCGTAGCACACACATGCACAATGTTACCCCCCTCCCCTCCCCCCCCCCACACGCTCACACCATGTGCGAATACACTGGCCAGACACCAAAACATTGATTGCATGTGTGCAAGCGTGGCCACCACAGCGCGACCACCCGCAAACACACCAAGTAGCACGTGCGCACGAGACGCGTGACAAATTCCGGAACGCGGTGACCCGAGGGAAAGTAGACCACTAGGTCATTGTCGCCGCGCAAGTGAATGACACACACGGCATCCAGGTTGGACGTGACAGTCACCGCGTCAATCTGTGTCAGTGGCACAGGCTTTGTGCCCATTCGAAAGCCTTTGACAGGGTCGAGTTTGTACAACCCGTCACGCGCTAGCACCAGCGCACGCAGCTGCGTCTTGCCCTGTTGTTGTTGTTGTTGTTGTTGTTGTTGTTGTTGTTGTTGTTGTTGTTGTTGTTGTTGTTGTTGTTGTTGTTGTGGTTGTTGTTGTGGTTGTTGTTATTGTTGTTGTTGTTGTTGTTGTGGTTGTTGTGGTTGTTGTTGTTGGTGAGACAAGCGTGACAACTCAAGTCAACATGGGTGCACACATGTTCGTGTGGTTTTGCACGCGGATGTACGCGTGCGTATATGGAAAATCAAAACATGTGCGTGCATACACGTTTCCAGGTGTGCGTGTGTGCTGCTGCTTACGCGGTGGCTGAGCTTCTGTACGGGGCTGGAGAACACGAGATGCTGGCACATGCCCTGCTGTCGCAGCGTTGCCAGCGACTGCATGTACGCGTCCAGCGCCCGGTTCCTGTTGGGATCCGCAAGGTAGTCGCCTGATGGCCCGAGGTGGTGGAGGTGGTGATGGTAATGATGGTTGTCGTTGTTGTTGTTGTTGTTGTTGTTGTTGTTGTTGTTGTTGTTGTTGTTGTTGTTGTTGTTGTTGTTGTTATGGGAGAGTGCGGATGAGGTGACGCGTGGTTGTGACGCCAACAATCACGTGGCAGAAGAGAACTGCAGCAAGAGCACAAATGCTCCCTCTCAATCACCCGACAAACTCCTTCTCTCCCTCACGTGCGCGCAACATGTATGTGTTGTGATGTGTTGTGATGTGTGAGGCGCCACGCACCCTTCCAGTTGAGGTCGTGTGCCCAATACGGTACACGCGCATGGAAGATGATCATGCCCAGCACCTTCAGCCGCAGCCGCTCAACCGTCTTCGCATCCAACCTGCCGCCCACAGCAATGCGTGTGCGTGTGTGCGTGTGTGCGTGTGTGCGTGTGTGCGTGTGTGTGTGATGTGCGCATGATGGAAGTAAACGACAGTTCGAGGAGGGCGAAAACTTGAGTAAGGAGGTGCGAAGCACTTGCCCCCCCCCCACACACACACAGGCACGCACGCCACGTTACCTGGAGATGATCTTGCGGGCACGCCAGCGCTGGTGCATGAACTTGAGACGGGTGATAAAGTCATGGAGAACGGCGGGCG